AAAAAAGGTATAATATATTAAAGTAAAAAAGGATATAATATATTAAAGTAAATAATCATTATTTGATAATGTAAAAAATATACAATTTATTATAAAAAATAATAATTATTATGCAATAATTTAAAGTGTAATAATTTTATATTTTACCAGTTAAATAATCTTGTATTTTATCAATATAATTTAGAGTGTAATAAGTATATATTTATCAGTCAGTCTAATCTAATCAAAAACATGTGGATTGTAATCGGCACTTTTTTTAAATCTATTTATTTTTTATTATTATTATTTTTTGCAACCAAAGTGCCTTTTAAAAAGCATTGCAGATTATCATGCAATCAATTTATATTTTTTTATATAAATGACTTCGATTCGATAATTGAACCCGTCATTTCGAAAAGGGCACAAGTCACACTTTTTTCGAATTTCACTTTTTAATGCAATTTTATTTATTCAAGTGTTTTACATATTCCCTTTGAAGGAGAAACATTTTCATATGCCACAAGTCAACTTAAAATGCAAATGAAAAATAAAGTCTGTTTGAAAATGGCACAAGTCCCGGACTTATGCCTTTTTCAAGTGAAACGAAGCGCAACTCTAGTGACATAATCTCACTTTATTTGTAACAAAAATTGAAAATCGCGAGCTTGCTGAAAATGCATATAAATCTAGAAAAAGAGTGTTTGGTATAAGAAACAGTGGAAAGTATAAACACGAAAAAATAAAAAAAGCCAAAATTGCTAGAGAAGCTTATAAAAACCATAAAGGAAATGATGTGGCACCAAGGCAATCAGGTGCTTCTTGCAGGTTAGTTTTTTGTTCTATAATATAGAATGACTATATTCGTTCTCAAATTTTTGCTTATTTACTCATGTTTTACCACCAATATTTGGAGGTAAAACATCTTGATATATAACTATTATAATATTAACTCAATAATTCTATTTGTTTACAGATGTAATTCGAAGTGTATGGAGCTTGTATCTGAAGATGTTATAGAAAGTACAATTCAGTTTGTTAACAGATTTGATAGTAAAAATGCCCAAGACACATACTTGCAGTCATTAATTGAAAAGAAGGAAATAAAGAGAAGACAGTTTAGATCTGAAGAACCTAAGGAAAAAGAATTTTCTTTTATTTACCACATTAAGGTTGAAGGTGTGATAAAAAAAGTATGCAAGAAAGCTTTTTGCAGTATGCATGGAATTTCTATGAAACAAGTTAGACGTTTATGCATTTAATTAAAAAAAAAAGAGCAGCCTATAGATCACAGAGGTAAATCTCAGGGATCACAATGCAATGCAATACCTGGAGATACATTAACAAAAGTACATGAGCATATCGAATCATTTCCTGTTAAATATGTGCACTACTATAGTAAAGATGCATCATCTTATTATTTGGATGAAAAACTCAATGTGAAAATTATGCACATGTTATACGCACAAAAATACCTAGATCATCCTGTTAAATATAAGTTCTACCTTAAATTTTTCCAAGAAAGTTTTAGTTTATCATTTGGTAGAAAGCAAATAGATGTCTGTGGACTGTGCGAAGAGTTAAAAATTAAACTAAAAAACCCACACCTTAATGACAATGCAAAAAGAATCTATCAAGCAGATATTGAGATCCACAAAAGACAAGCAAACAAATTTTACAAAAAAATACAGGAAGTTGAAACAAAGTGCAAAAATGATCCAAATGTGTATGGGATTGCATTTGATTTTATGCAAAATTTGCCACTTCCACATATCCCTGTCCAGGAAATATTTTATTTACATCAACTATGGCTGTATGAGTTTTGCATTTATGATTTTAAAACTGGTAAATCAGTATTTTATTCATATTGTGAAAGAGTTGCTAACAAAGGTTCCAATGAAGTATGTACCTTTGTGCTGGATTATATTTTTAAAAATATTGGCAACGAAACCAAAGAATTGCCTATTTTCTGATGGTTGTGCAGGCCAAAACAGAAATCATGTCATGGTCCGAATACTTTTATCACTGGTAGCTGAACTAGATAGCAATATAAATGAGATACAATATTACATACCAAAAAGAGGTCACTCATTCTTGCCTAATGATAGAATGTTTGGAACAGCAAAGCGACATATTCGAAAAAATGATTGGATTTACCCACCAACAGAGTATGAAAATCTTATAGCTGAAGAAAGCGAAAAATTTGAAATGAGAAGGCCCAAAACTAAAGATATTATTGATGTAAAAAAATGGTGGCCAAACCATTATAAGAAACTTGTGTTATCTGTGGATTCCTATGGAAAAGGAGTACCTAAGGACAAAAAAGTTACTTTTGGTATTTCTAAAGTGTCACATTTCACATTCTCTAAGACCACTACAGGTTTAGTAACAACACGTGAATCCATAGATTGTTTAGTCAGTTATGATTTTCAGCTATTACAAAGGATGGGTAAAAGGTCAACCTTACCATTAAGTAGTACTTCTGCATATGTTGTAAAATTGCCTATCAATGAAAAAAAGATATCAGATTTGAAAAAAATAGAAAAATATATTCCATATTCAATAGAAGAGTACCAAAATTTCTATACAAAGGTTTTTGCTAACAACTTCGACAAACAATGAATTAAGTGATGATTAACTAACAATAATTGTTTTTATATAATAATAAATCATTATTATTCTGATAATCTTTGAATTTTTATATACAAAAAAGTGTTCATTTCGAAAAAGACATAAGTCCATAAATTTAAATTAAAAATATATGTGTTATATATTGTTTTTTTATAATAAATAAAACTCTAAAAACTTATGTATGACTTTTATTTATCTACTCTTATATTCAGTTTCTTTAGCACCATAAACTTTTTTTCTTATAAATTTATTTTTGTTGCTCCTGAAAAGTTTGAATAAATGGACTTGTGCCCTTTTCGAAATGACGGGTTCAATTATTAACAATGATAATTATACTATTGAAGGAAAAAGTTATACTTTTGCAAGAGCCGTAAATTGCTCCCGTAAATCATTTTAGGGGAGTGTGGGCAAGACCGAGGTCTGTCAATGTAATCAAATATGTAAAAATCGACTTATTTGCTGATAATACATTAATTTATATAGAAATTGCTAACTTCGATAATGCAATTGTGAAACTAAATAAAGATCTCAAAGTTAGTACATTATGGTTAAATAACAATTAATTAAAACTGAACATAAAGAGATCAATCGTGATGTTAGTAACAAGTTTAGTGATAAAAAAAGAAATAAATTATTGAATAAGTCACAGTTATCTTGGATAAAAAGAAAATTAAGTTCTCTGAATGTGTCAAGTATTTAGACATTCAATTTGATGAAAATTTAAAATTTAAAAAAATTATCTAAAAAGTTGGGTTACCTATCATGAATAAGTAAAAATTTAACCCAGTGGCCTGAAAAAGTAAGTAATAAAATAGTGGCTCTTCATTATGAATATTGTGCCTCATTCTTTTTAAATGCAAATAAAGGTGATATTAAAATACTTCAAAAATAGCTAAAGCTGAGATTTATTCTAAAATGTGATTGGTATTCACATAGTGAAGAAATGTTGGAGAAAATTGGATGGTTATCAGTCAAGCAGAAAATCATATTTAAGATATTGAGTTTTGTTCATGAGGTAGTAACTAATCTAAATAATAAAATATATTTGAACATGTTCAGAAAAAACAGCAACTTAAATAAATACAATACCAGGTAGGGTAATGATTTTCATATGAAAGTGCAAGGCAATACAAGTGGGCAGAAATCAATTTTCTGCAATGGACTCAAGCTATATAACTTAATATCTTAAGAAACAAAAATTATAAGAAATAAAAGTTTCAAACCAAGTGTGAAAAAATTTATTAAAAATAAGTGGACATATTAAGCGTGCACTTATTAAGGCTATTGTGTCATGATTAGTGAATAATGTAATTTTCAAATAATAAGAAGTATAACATTATAACATTAAATTATAATTATAATTATAAATATAACATTATAACATTAAATTGCTACCTTAAACAAGCCATGAACAATAACATCAAGTAAACTGTGTAGTTATGAATAA